CTGTGACTTCAGTCTGATCAAACCCTGATAAGCATAATAGGAAGGTGCAAATAATATTAGTGTTTGACTACTGCCCATGGGTGTGGTCTTGTCCATGCTTAAAAGGGGCTTATCTTAAGTGTGGTTTATTTGAGCAATCCTTCTGTCCACACAGAAGATCATGCTATAGGTCCTCTCCTCCCATGTTGCAGGTTCATACAGAGCAAGGTTTAGCTGGTTTACTCATGAGTAAGGAGGCAGCAGTAAGAACATCCAAGGACAGCTGCAGTGTGACGGGAAATTGTTGGAGTGAAGGTAGCTTTTTTTAAAAAAAAATGTGTCACAATATTTGTCTCCACAGTTAATGCTGCACACAGGTCCATTTTGGTGTGGGCACAAGGTATATAATTTTACCAAAAAGAATACACATCCCGCTGCTGTGCCAGAAAAGTGTGTGACAAAAGGGCAGGATGGATCGATCTAAGTGGAAATATGTCTGGACGGCATCATTGGGTTCAAACCAAACCATACCAGCAGTGATTCAGATATACTCCAGAGTGAACAACCTCTGAGATAGCTCTTGGATGTTCTAGTCCTAGATGTAAGCGGTCTCCTCAGAAGACACGCAGTTAAACTGTGGAAATTTCAGCCACAAGATGCAGGGATGGCTACTAACCAGCCAAATGAATGGAAATTCAGTGATTCCTGATCGTGGAATACATAGACCTCCTCACATTTCAGCCACAGTCTGCCTTTGCATACCAGTTTCTAGTGGCAATGAGCGGCAGGACACTTTTGCACTTATGTCTTGCTTGTGAGTTTTCCACCATCAACTGACTAGCCATGGTGCAAAACGAATAGGTGACTAGAGCAGCCGTTGCTCTGATCCAGGAGGGCTTTTAAAAATCCTCAACTTATTTATCCCTGCCAAAGCTCTGAAGCTAAGCGTATACCCCAGAGAGCACAGTGGGACCTCTTCCTGAAAGATGGTGCTGCAAAGGGGCCAGCAAACGAAGGAAGTTCAGGCGGTCTTTCATTCCGTTTGCTGTCTCAGCATCTCCTGCTCCAAAGTCATAGATGCTGCCTACAACAGCATACTGCCAATGAAGAGACAGGGTGCATCAATTCACACTCTCCAAATTAGCATCTCAGGAAGCCGGCGCTGTGCCTACGAGGGCAGGCTTTCTAAATTGTGCCTCCCAACAACTTCTATCATTATCTAAAGCTTTGTGCTGACCCATTTTAAAATCCTGTGCTTTGTGCAGCAAAGATAATTATGCAATGTAAGCATCTCTGGGATTTAAGATAAGATTCCTTTTTTTATTTTCTTCAGTAAATAGCAAATGTGAAGCAACATTATGCACAGGATGGGAAAGCCCCCCCCCCCGGCAGTACATATACTGCTGTACATTCAGGCAAATCAAAACCCTGACAAGCATAATTAAAAAGCATTCATTTTATCCCAACAAAAAGCTGAAACTGGCATGGCTGCTTGTGGAAAACATATAATGAAAATCATGCATTACAATAAAGAATATTAGGATCTGATCCAATTAATGTTTATAGAAGCAATGGGATGCCTATAACTCCCATCAGTCCTAGCCAGCACAGTAAATGGTGAGGTGTGATGGGATTTGTAGTTGAACATCTGGAGGGAATGTTGCCCAGCTCTTATATATAGAATGATCTCTTTTTTTTTTTGAGGGGTCCATTCATTTTGGATGCTTCAGCTGATACTTGATGACATCAGCATCTGCTCCTTCACATTTCATACACTAGTGCTAACATTTATCTTTGTCTCCCAAAAATGTTTTCCTGAATATCCTGCCAACACGTCAATTTGAATATGGTCCAGATAAAGCTTCTATATTGTTATAGTTTATACCATCCTTCCTCTGAAGCAATCTACTATCTGTGGCTTTTATTCTCCTCAAACATGATGTAGCAGGTTAGGCTTGGAGAGGGTAGGCGGCCCAAATGGAGCAAAAGGACATAACACAAACTGGAATGACTCTCCCCAATCCTGATCTGTTGCTCTGATCTGGACATAACCTTGACCATCAAGATGTTCTGCACCTTCTGAGGAAATTAGCAAGGAATCATTCCCTCAAGTCTGTGAAGAGCTAAAAGGAGTTGGATGGCAGAAAGAATGCACCTTCTAATTAACGAGCCAGGATTCTACGGTGTGAAGTTGTTATCTGTAGCCTTGGAAATGTGGGGGTGAGGTGTTGTGAAAGGCAAAGCCTCCTTGAATTCACATGGTACGCAAATTGGTCACAGCTGTGTTATCTGACCACTATTCATGCAGAAATTGCCAGTTAGTTAGGAAAGAGACAGTATCAGACTGGCTGAAAGGGTTGAGCCATTGAGAGAGGGGGTGATGGGATATATGGTGAGTCAGAAGAATGTTTAAATTAAGCAGTTCTTGAGTTCATGTTAACTTGAATATGTAATCCCAAATTGTTACTCTGCTGAAACCATGGTACATTGAAAGTCTAGAACTAGATAGCTAGCTTTCTTATTTTTTGAGGGGTTGAATCCTAACTGCCTAAGTCTCTGAGCGAGTTTTGTTTTGCCTTCACCATGGAATTACCCAATTTCATCATTCTTTTAGAATCTTTGAGTTTTTAAATCTATACATGCTTTTGAAATTATTTCAGTAAAAATAAAAACATTTTACAGTTGTGTTCTCACTCAGGCAGATCAATGAAGGTGACTTGTATTCAGAACTTTTGTTAGTAACTTGTGGGTTTCTGGTATTTTCTACTATGCAAGGTTGGTTTGTAGCCACAAGCAACAACCTGAACGTTTTTGTCTCTCCCTAGAGCCCATTGGCTTAA